GATCCAGTCATGATTCAAATCTATGTCACAAGATCCTAAATCAGAAGAGCAGTCGATGATTGCACCTGGACCCATTTCTGCTAGAAGCATCCAATTTAAGTGGAATTCATCATATTCATCATCTTCAACCTACTCATCACTTCATCATCAGTGGTTTCGCCGTTTTCATCGTCTATAGGCTGTCTAAGCAAATCAATTGGGTCTGAGTCAATCTCTTCTTGATGACGACTAAACAAAGTTGACCGAGGAATGGTATAATTTTCGGTCAACTGTTGAAGATCCCGATGGTGAACATGAAGAACTTTTAACCGGCAAATTCCTCCCATTGAGGACTATTACGAAAGGATGAAGGGTATGGAAAGATTTGTACTATATTTAATTGATTGTATTTTTTCCAATGATTTCCATTAAGTTTATTTGTGTTAAATAAAGTTTAAATAATGAAAAATTCTCAAATTCAACAGGTCGATCCCAACATAGTCTTGAAGGTAATTGTTGTCCGTCCAGCATTATCAGTCTCAACAAAATATTCACTTTCACTATTACCAGTTCCGCGAAGCCACCGTGGTGCTTCTTTGTTAAGAATTTAATGAAATAAATGAACGACTTGAATTGTAAAGGGGAATTCCAAGTAGAAGGTGGCATGTCTCATGAGCAGAGATGTCACGTTCTATAAGACTTTGCAACAATAATTTTTGGGCTGAAGTATTGGGGTTGCTATTATGAAGGATCTGATTTAACATTTCAGAATAAGCTATTGATTGTGGTTCCGATTTACTCGCATACTTAGAAATGTACTGTAAAGCTGCGTGGATACTAAGAATCGGTTTTAGGTCACGTTTTCTCGCCAACCTTGCAACTCAAGTCTGCTATGTGGATTATTAGTGGATCTTTTCTTGCTGTCATGAGTTCTGGCTGTCCATGTCATCACATACAATGGCATTCTCAATAGTTTCCTTAGGATACCCAAAGCTACAAGATTGTTGACCTGCTTTATTAACACGAAGACAATGTGAGGCACTACATCTTGTGTGCCGTTGTAATCCGGTAAATCGTTTTTTATTTCTTCATTTCTCTTTTGACATGAGTGGCAGCTAGGAACAGGTGTACTAGATCCTAGGTTAATAGTTGTAACTAGAGAATTGAAATAATGTATTATTTCATTCATCACATTTTCATCATCTTTCATTTGCGTCCAATCTATTATGGGTGCATTTCTTTTTTTCTCGATCCCGTGTACGTGAACACTTCCACGATGCTGTCACTCAAACCTATACCACCATTCTTCAAAATCCCAATGTTGTTTTAGCACATCATTAAAAATAGTTTCAAATCGCTTATTAAAAAACCAAGTGACAATATGTGAATTGTCAACAACTTTTTTGTAATAACGATTTCCCGATTCAGATTCTTTGTCGAATGGCGTGAGCTTGTGGATTTCAGGCTAGTGTAAATCAGCGGCACTGAACGGAAAGAACGTGAACCTATTCATTTAATCATGTCAGAGAGTTTTGAACGGCGGCCATCCAAAATTGTCGAGATCTACGCAAACTCTCTCCAAATCGCATAATACGATTCGCAATGTTTTTATCACCTTGGGTATCTTTTCTTTGATGTCCGTGACAGTAATCCGGGTATCATTTAAGCTCTGTTTGATATAAATTTTTCTTCTTGCAATGCTCACCATCGCATTTGTGAATTTAGTGCAAAGTATCTCCAGCGAGTATGACGCGCGAATCTCCATCTTTATATTGAAGTTGATGTTTGAAGTATTCAGCTGGTTTTATTTCTTTGATTCGCTCTGCCCGAAGATTGGCATTTCCTGTTGGATAAAGAGTTGGTAATTTACGTACAATATATCCTTGCGTTTGAAATTCGTTAATGGGATTATTAGCAATATGCGGCCACGTTACTGGATCATTCTTATTGTTTTGTATACGATTGAGAGCATTAGTAATAGAAACTTCTTCACGTTGAGTTGATGGAAGCAAAGGAATGAAAGTACGTACATACAATCATCTCATTCTCATTTTTATCATTTGAGTTATTTGTATCATCATTCAAGAAGCTGGTTATTAATAGGGCCAGGCAAGGATTGAAGGACTTCATTATTAATAATAATATCATTATAATACTGGTTGTTTACCTTCAACCACCATAATGTCCGAGTAATTTTAACACGTCGAACATTAAAATTTCTAAAGGATTCGGAATTTTCGGACTGTGACGTATAACAAGCACATCTAATGAGGATGGATGTCGAAGAAGTTGAGCAACAAATTCTCGTATATCCCGAGGAAAATTTATAACGTTGCCACGATATCCAAATTGTCCTCCACAAATTCTATAAATTAATATTATAGGAAAGCTTGGGCTATTAACATTTCTTCTATTTCCCTTAGACCTTTTAGCTCTTCCGGTAATTCTCCTGGATCCATGTCGTTTTCTGCTGAGAATTTTTTAGGTAAATTCTTTTCAGACGGTATTCTCCCATGACGAGCGTGACTGATGCATTCATTGCATATAGGACAAAGTGTAAATTTGACTTTATCCATTTTGGTGTGGAATTTTCGTAGAGAATCAAGTTCTAATTCACTAAGCTGAAGAGAGTAGCGTAAAGTATTCTTATTAAAAATTCTTATTGAATTTAGTTAGTCTCTTTTGTTCACAATATTGATTTTTTCCTTTGGTTTGTGTATTATTTTCCTGTTTTCTCTTTCTTCTCTTTCGGTTACGATCACGTGCAAGACGCGCCTCACGATCTTCAAGGGATTCTTTTGTCGCTTCTTTTCACACGTGCGAAGCGTCTATCACTTTGTTGAGGCGTCTCATTTTCCCAGTTTTGGCGGGTTCGAAGAATGTTGTGTGAAATGAACTTTTTTTCCATTTTAGAACGTTTGACTATTTCAAAAATTCTTAAACGCAATTCAATGAAGAAAACATGGAAAAATAAACATTCTTGTGCTTCGAAGGTAGGAAAAATTACTGGCTGATCTTGTGGCGAAAACATTTTGCACACCATTGATTTTTTTTTTTGAGTTCGAAACTTGTAGAATTATTAAGGTAATTTATGTTTCCCAGTTCTTTTATATCCAACAATTACTTTATTTAACTTTTTTTTTTTTGCTTTTTTTACCATTTTGTCGAGTCAATTATTTAACAACGATGCCATGTTATTTACTGGGCGCAAGATTATCATTACGTGAGTATGATTAAATCTTTATACTATTACAATACTATGTTTTATTGCATATTTGTGAATACTATATTTTACAATTACATTTACTATTTTTTGTAAATACTTTAAAATAAATCATAAATAATTTTTACTTTTTTAATAAACCAATAAAATTGATGTTACTTTAATAAATTTAAATTGTAATTATTATTAAATTTAAATTCAAATATATATTGCTCCGGACTCGCATTTCCTATTATATCTTAAATACGTGTTGATAATAAGGTCAGTACATATATTATATCTCATGCGAAGTGACAAAGAAATGACTTGACAATGTGTTCATTTAATCGATTCATTGGTCTATTAATTCAGTTTCACATCTACGAATATACATATAAATTAGAAATAATAAATATAAATATACTCTAATAATTGTCCGAACTCCATTTCTTACTATATTGTGTTTATAGTGTACAAGATGACTGATCAATTATTTGTATTTATTTATATATTATGCACGTCGATCAAGAATTTGTTTACATGCTTAAATTCAAGTAAACAAGAAATTAAATATAAATACCTCAAATACCCACTTGTTTACTTGCTTGATTTCGAAATTTAATTTCTCAACTCACTCTCGACTCACTACTTTTTATTATTTTTACTCTCGAACCAAAACTTTACTCTTATCTTCTGCGCTTTCTGCCGTTCTTAACTCTCAGTTTATCCTTCTATTGAAACTTTGTTTTCAGGTACTTTTATGTACCTTACATGAATATTTTTATTATCTATTTTGATTCATATTTGACTATGTAAAGGTATTCTATCTTTTTTTCTTACCGCAATTTATAAAAAAGCCATCAAAGCCAAATACAAGAAAGTATTGTCAATAAAAGAAAATTAAATCATCTCATCCCGCATCACACTTTAACGAGCAACATCATTTCCCTTGGACATACGGAAGGTATTTACATCTCACCCTTACAACAACTCCTTACCCATTATACCTTTACCAAATTTCCTCCATAGTTCTTATCAAAAATGTACCCAAAACCTAATTAATCCGAATAAGCTTGCCAGTTCATACCGTACACTATTAGTGTTGGTTCTTTACTCTGTCGAACAAGTAAAATAAACAAATAATGTGAAAACGTGACAGTCAGAATCACGGGATCTCAAATAACGTGTCAGGATAGGATCAACGATCACATAAATATAAACAAAATAAACAAACGACTTTATTTATAATTCTTCGTCTTTTCTTCTTTATACAAAAAGTTATTTTAGTTAGTTTAGCTTGTAAAAATACCCTTAAAGAAATATTTGTTACCTCTAACTACAGCTGTTTTTTGCCTTATTATCGTCGCCACTCTTCTTCTGTTCCTTCTGGTGCTGCTTCTCCCACTTATGTTTTATCATCGGCTTCTAATATTGCTTCTTCAGTTCCCGTTATACTACTAATAATTCCTCTTATTATTACGACCCTTCTCATACTTATGCTACTTCCCCGAATCACAACTTAACGAACAACATCACAGATACACGTAAGACATTTATATCCATCCCTTACAATAACTTTAAGGACAACTGCCAGTCAGAATCACGGGATTGTAATTAATGCAAATAACGTGGATCAACAATCACATAAATATAAATAATAATAAACAATCAGGATCAACGATCACTTAAATATAAATAAACAAAATAAACAAACGAAAACGACATTATTTATAATCCTTCCTCTTCACTTCTCACTTAAACCTTTGATAAATTTAAAAAACCTTATACAAAGTTATTTTAGTTAGCTTAGTTTGTAAAAATGCCATATAATCGTCACTTTACTTGTTCCGTTTCACCTCTAATTACAGCTATTTTTCACCCTATTACAGTCGCGACTCTTCTTTTTTCCTCTGGTGCTGCTTCTCCCGCTTATGCTTTATCTTCTTTTGTTCCCTATTACTACTAATAATTTTTCTTATTATTACGACCCTTCTCATACTTATGCTATTTCCTCGCATCACACCTTAACGAACAACATCACTTCCCACAGACACACGGAAGACTCCCATCCCTTACAATGACTTTAAGGACAACTGCTCACCCATTATACCTACCTAATTAATTCGAAGAAGCTGGCTGGTTCATACCGTACGTTATTAAGTGTTGGTTCTTAACTTTGTCGAACAAGTAAAATAAATAAATAATATAACCCAAATGGATATTATAAAATTCATTGGGTACTCTTTAGCATATGGAATTCATGGCGAAAATTTAGATTAGCTTCGAATATTGCGAACTGTGAATTGGGAGAACCTTGTGTAATTTAAATAAAATTAAAAGTCCTTAGAAAATAGAAATCAGTATCTGGCAACGGGTAACATATGGTATGAGAGTATTCTAATGTAGGACATATGCCACATCGACAGTCTTCTTCCTAACCGCCGCAGTCGTAATTCCATCCACACCACCGAGCGTCACCTGATATCACCATATATGCCCAAGAATTTTATGCTACCCAAACAAACATTTTAATTGGATGAATATTTTGATGTTAAACAAATATTATGACGAGACAAAATTTAGAATATATCGGTAAATTTTTTGAGATGTGCTGATATTGGTGTAGGTTAAAGATCAAACAAAGAATCTAATAAAGATCTGATCAAACATTTTGAGGATAATACTAATGGAGATGATAAAACACTTTAGAAATTATGAAGTGGATATTTTGATGAAAATGTTGAATATATTGATTCTAATTCCGAGAGAAATTTAAGTATAAAAAAAATTATTTTTATTATTTATTATATTGTTTAGATGTATTACAAAAAATATTTATAAATTAATGAATTTTATTTTAGTGCTAAACTCAAAATCACTGAAGATGAAATATGAATGAAGGATATCACGTCTAAATTTTGTGACCTAACTATTAAGCTATGTATCTTTTCCATTTCTATTACATTTATTTCTATTATTTGCTAATAATTTTATTTCTAATATTCTATTACTAATGATTTGTTATTTTGATTAACAGTTTTCTTTTCTGCTAATTCTCTACCTCCACATTCAACTTCCATTTCCTCTCTACCTCTGTACTCCTCTCACCTTCACTTCTACACTCCACACTTCACCCTTATCACCTCCACCCTCCCTACATTCCACCTACACTCCACCTCCATCTCCACTTACATTCCACACCTCTACCACCTCCACACCCCCTCGCCTCTTTAGGAAACCTTGAAAGAAGTTTCTATGTTGAAGGTCTACACTGATTCTGAAGAAGGAATTAGTTATGACCTTTGTAAAAACATAGAAATATCTTTTCTGGGAGTACTTTCTTTCCCTCCCTTACCACCTTCACTTACCTCCTCACATCACCCACCTTCACTCACCTCCACACACCACACTCCACACTCCACACTTCACCCTTCGCCTACATAACTACACTCTCCCACACTCCACCTCCATCCCCACCTACATTCCACCCCTCTACCTTCATCTCCACCTCCACAATCCACATTCCCCTCACCTCATTAGGAAACCTTGAAAGAAGTTTCTATGTTGAAGGTCTACACTGACTCTGAAGAAGGAATTAGTTATGGCCTTTGTAAAGACATAGAAATTACTTTTCTGAGAGTACTTTCTTTCCCTTCCTTACCACCTTTACTTACCTCCTCACATCACCCACCTTCACTCACCTCCACACTCCACACTCCACACTTCACCTTTCGCCTGCATACCTGCACTCTCCCACACTCCACCTCCATCCCCACCTACATTTCACACCTCTACCTTCATCTCCACCTCCACACTCCACATTCCCCCTCACCTCTTTAGGAAACCTTGAAAGAAGTTTCTATGTTGAAGGTCTACACTGATTCTGAAGAAGGAATTAGTTATGACCT